GTGGCCTAGAGGGATGAGCGATCCAGGCAGAATGGGCTCCACGCGGAAATCTCCATCCCCCCTCAGCCATTCGGGGCACTCGTAACCCACCTCAGCACCCTCCGCGCCGATCCCGGCGAGAAGCTAACCTTTTCAGACCCCCCCCCCGCGCCCCCCCCTCTTGCGCGCCATGAATCTTCCCAACCTGGGTGCAACCAGGAAGTGGCCCTTTGCCCTAGGCGGCCCCAACCTTAGTGGGCCCTGGAAACGGCAGGGCCGTTCTTTTTTACCGCTTCCCGAAAAGCGTCTCTGGAAAATGGAAACGGCAAAACACACGGTGACAAGAAACGGCGAAACACGGCTTCAATATTGGAACTGGAGCCGGAACCGGGACCAAAACGGCGACGGAACCGACCACAAAAAAACGAAGCCGGCCAAACGGAACGGGAAACAAAAACGGCCCTGTCAGGGCCCGCTGAGGCCCCGGCTATCCCAGGGAGGCGCAGCTGGCATCCAGAGCACCTCTCGCGAGACCCCAGGAGGGCCGAGGGCACCCCTCACGAGGCCCCACCTGGCGCGCAGAAGGCTGGGAGCACAAAGCATGCACTTGCCGATGCCGCTGCTCCACGGATCTCTCCCGGGGTGCGTCTCGCCCAGGGCGTGGCGACGAAGGCACCCCGGGAGGCCCAACTCTGCGAATACGAGGGAAGGGCGGTGGCATCGGTGCCCTTTCCTCCTCCGAACTTTGGGCAAGGACCACTTCTGGTATCACCCTCCCCTGAGATCCGACGCAACCACAACAGTATACAACATCGGCACACATCACGACCACCCTTGGCGGCGCGCACAAGGGGGTGGAGGGAGGGGGGGAGCCTTCTTAGAAAGAAGCTGCGTCTTAGAAGGCGCCGGCCTTGCATCTATAGATAAGGCCCGCGCCTTCTAAGAAGCAAAGGTGCTTCTAAGAAGCCCTCTCCCCTCCCCCCCCCCTCCCCTCTCTGCGCGTGGCTGACACCTCTCTGCATCATTTTGCAAAAATGGTTCGGTCTGTGAGGGCCCCGGGTCCCGAAACCGGTTTTGTGACTATTCTTGACTATTCCTCATGTAGAAGGACGCGCCCGACTTTCAGTCGAGGCGTTGACCTAAGGAACCCTAAATAAGGAACGAGGCCCCTATTTTCCATAAGTTGAACTTCGATTTCGTATCGAAAACCTAAGGGAAATCCAAGGCAAGCTGCGAAACAATTAAGGAACACGGAGCCCCTCCCCAACAAAAAGAGTTCCTTCTTCAGGGCCCCGACTGTAATGCCAGGCACGAAAACATGGGGACGCCAGGATCTCAAGGTTTTCCCCCTCCGAGCCCCAGGCCACGACCCCTTCTGGCAGCCCCTCGAGACTGCGCCGCCGTCCTCCACCCCACCCGCCCGACGTCGTGGTTTTCTTATACAGTAGGCCCCCAGAGGTCTGGACCCCTTCCAGGGGGACCGGATTTCCATCCTGAGTCGTTTTTTCAACGGTCCCGAGGCCCAGTGATGAAGGTCCAGGAGCTACAAAACATCTTGCGAGGTCAATAGTGATTCAGGATGAAGCGGCCCAACATCGCCTACGCCACGTCTCTCGATCTCACGCGAATCAAACAGTGGAGGCACCATCCGCAAGAAACCCAACCCTGAGACCCCAGGACTTCCATTGGTTTTTGGTGTGAGAACGGCACGCTTTCCATCGCAAGAAAACATCGAAACACAAGAATCCCAGGACACATGGAGGCAAGCAGAGTGGCAGGGGTTGCTGGGGTCTCCACTGTAGCAGGCAACCAGAATTAGGTCGGGCATGTTCCCTACAGGCAGATGTTTGATGTGTTTTTGGTTTTGCTTCTCTTTCTTTTCTCTCTTCCTTTTTGTGGCTGTTTGCACACACACGCATATATATATATATATATAAAAATATTCAAACAAGCAACACAAAACTCAACACATACCCCAACATAGCCCAGACATGCTACAAATCGTCCCCAGACGATTTTTGACTATTTTGGAATCTCCCTCCTGTAGAGGAACATGCCCGACCCAAAACCAGAGCTGGAGCGCCCCGCAGCTCCGCAGCCTCCGCAGCCGCGCGGTGGGGGTGGGGCAGCGGAACGACATTTCTTCGCCGCCGGGAGCGCCGCCTCCCCGCCCGTGAAAGGACGGGGGGCAGCCCTCAGTGGGCCCAGGAATTAGGTCGGGCCTGTGCCCCTACGGGCGGCTGTTGGGCGAACATTATTAATATGCAAAACATGTTCAAGCATAGCCAAACAATACTACTAGAACAATCTCGTCCCCAGACTGTTTTTCGACTATTTTGGAATCTTCCTCCTGTAGAGGGGCATGCCCGACTTAACCCTGGAAACGGCAGGTCCGTTTTCTCACCACCGATTCCGAGAAAATGTCTCTTGAACATGGCAACGATAAGACAACGGCAACCGGAAACGGCAACCAACCGGCTCCAGAAGTGGAGCCAAGGCCAGAAACGAACAAACTTATCCCGGCAACGCAACCTAACAGCGATGTGTATAAGCATATCTGGAAGCATTCCCCGTAAGATTCAGGTGAGACTCCAATTGTAGAATTCTGATGTTCTCGCAGTCGCAGTCGCATTCGCAATGACAGTCGCAGTGGCAACGGCCTTAGGATCCAATGGAATCCTAAGGATTCCTAGGGATTCCTAAGGCATCCTTAGGCATCCTTAGGAATCCATAGGAATCCTTAGGAAACCTTAGGCACCCTTAGGAATCCTGATTCCTAGGGATTCCTAGGGATTCCTGCGGATTCCTGAGGAATCCTAAGGATTCCTGAGGATGCTTAACTATGCCTACGGATTCCTAAGGATGCCTACGGATTCCTAAGGATTCCTATGTATTCCTATGGACTCCGATGCCTCAGCCTGTCTCAGTTTCAGCCTCAGCCTCAGCCTGCCTCGGCTTGCCTCAGCCTCAGCCTCAGCCTGCCTCGGCCTCAGCCTCAGCCTGCCTCAGCCTCAGCCTGCCTCGGCCTCAGCCTCAGCCTGCCTCTGCCTCAGCCTGCCTCAGCCTCAGCCTTCCTCAGCCTCAGCCTCAGCCTCAGCCTCAGCCTCAGCCTGCCTCGGCTTGCCTCAGCCTCAGCCTCAGCCTGCCTCGGCCTCAGCCTGCCTCGGCCTCAGCCTCAGCCTCCCCCCCTTCCCCCCCCATTCAGCCTCACCTTGTCTCAGCTTCGGCCTGCCTCGGCCTCATCCTCAGCCTCAGCCTCAGTCTCAGCCTCAGCCTGTCTCGGCCTGAGCCTGCCTCGGCCTCAGCCTCAGCCTGCCTCAGCCTCAGCCTGCCTCAGCCTCAGCCTCAGCCTCAGCCTCAGCCTCAGCCTGCCTCAGGCCTCAGCCTGCGTCAGCCTCAGCCTCAGCCTGCCTCAGCCTCAGCCTTCCTCAGCCTCAGCCTCAGCCTGCCTCGGCGTGCCTCAGCCTCAGCCTCAGCCTGCCTCGGCCTCAGCCTGCCTCGGCCTCAACCTGCCTCAATTCGGGCATTCAAAATATGGCACAGGACTAATTCTTGGGAACACGAAGATCACGAAGTGGCCCACAGTTGGCTCCGCGCAATCACAATCTGGTACAGGAATGGTGTTCTGGGAACACGAAGAACACGAAGTGGCCTACAGTTGGCTCTGGGCAGTCAAAATGTGGCCTGGGAATGGTGTTCTGGGAACACGAAGAAGACGAAGTGGCCTACAGTTGGCTCCGGGCATTCAAAATGTGGCCTGGGAATTGTGTTCTGTTGGCTCTGGGCAATCAACATGTGGCTCCTGGCAATCAAAATCGGATTCCCGCGGCACCCGTCCGGCATCTGCCCAGACCCCCCTGGGGAGTCATGATGTTCTGTTTTGAGCCCACTAGAAACCTATCAGTCTTCGCTGTTAGGTAACAACAGCGATGCAAAGGGTATAAAAGCGGCGACGGAACCCGCAGCAAAAACGGCAAACCAGAACCCGTCAAGCAACGGCCCTGTCGTTTCCAGGGCCTGCCGAGGGGGAACCCTCCCTGAACAGTTCTGGGGCCAGCATTCCGTGCCCCTGGAGGCCGAGGCTGGCGAAAAGCCTCCTGCCGTGACCCTTTCACGAGGAGGATGATGAGGATGAGGATGAGGAGGAGGAGGAGGAGGAGGAGGAGGAGGAGGAGGAGGAAAAAGAGGAGGAGGAGGAGGAGGAGGAGGAAAAAGAGGAGGAGGAGGAGGTGCTCCTCCTCCTCCTCCTCCTCCTTTCACGACGCTGCGCTGCCGTCCTTCGGGGTTGGACAGGAACCCCGTCAGCACAGCACCCTTTGGTGAAAGCTGCCAGGGGCCCTCCACGGGCGCACGGCACCGCATTCCGAGTGCACCCCAGCGGGGTAGCTGATCGAGCTTCAAGAACAACCAGGCATCCCGCGAAACGCACGTCGAGTAATGAAACCGACTGGGGACTGCACCGGCGCTCTCAAATGCCAGTGTCGAATGAACCCGCACAGATTTCCTCAGTCGACTTGTCTGGGTGGGCTTTCTGTCAATCTGTATTCGAGTTGAGGAGCAACGAGAAAGGGGTGGACTGGCATAGGGGGGACACATCGGCCCGGAGTCGGCGATACATCCCCGACAGATCGGCGATAGGCCCCCGACAGCAAGTTCGCAGGTTCCTGGGCTCCGTGGGGCTATCAGACCCCTGTCGGCGATCAATCGGCGACTAGGGGGCGTCGATGCACCCCCCCGCCGTCGGTCGGAAGAAGTGGGCAGAGCCATGAAGTAGGAGGGCGTTGGAAGTGGAGTGGGCCTCTGCCGGGTCCCTGAGAAGGAAGGACAAGAGGAGAAGCCGCTCGAGATCCTTGAAGTAGACAGGCGCCCAGAGCAGCTTGGAGTCTGGGAACCCAAGAGCACCTACTCTTAGGTCGGGCATGTCCCCCTACAGGGGGATTCTGGAAGACACATGAGAAATAGTCAAACCAATTATCAAACATGATTCAAACATGTTCAACCAATTGTTTCCTGATATTTTTTCTGACTGTTTCGGAATCTTCCTTCTGTGCAGGGGCAGGCCCGACTCGAACCTGCTCTCAACGACCTGCGTGCAGGCCTACAGATCCCTCCTCGACAGCCGACGCGAGCTTTCCCCGCGACGCGGCGGCGCCCCGGGTGCCCCAGCTCTCCAGTGCTCGCGCCGACGTGGGGCGCTCGCAGACACGCACAAACCCGACCTCCCGGGCCGCGCCTCGCTCTCTCGTCTCCGCCCGCCTCGGGCCCCGCCGGCCGCCCCCTGGCTCGAGATCGCAGCGCGCCCCAGCAAGCGCCGTCTTGCTCGTTCCCGACGCGCGTGCCGTCAGGCTCTCCAGAACCTCCTTCGGAAGCTCCTTCCGTTAGAGGGTGGGGTCAGAGCAGATGGGGTCGGAGGATCTCGCCGCATCGCCGATGCATCGGCGATGCATCGGCGATGCACTGGCGACGTCGGCGATGCAGCGGCGACGTCGGCGTGGAGGGAGGTGGGCCCCACATCGAGCCGCATCGCCGATGCATCGCCGATGCATCGGCGACGTGGCACGGTCCTCCGGCCCCATCTGCTCCGACCCCATCTATCGGGAGCGGCCAAGAGGGGGGGGTGTCCAAGAGGGGGGGGGGTGCAAATCATGACCGGCGGCATGTGCGCGGCCCAGCGGGGAGGCCAGGGACGTCATGAAGAAAGAAGAGGCGCCATGAGATCTGGGGAGATATCATGGCCCCCGCCATGATATATCGATCCCCTCCTGGTCATCACCCCCCTCTTTTCCGCCCCATCCTCCTCAGGAGGAGGAGGAGGAGGAGGAGGAGGAGGAGGAGGAGGAGGAGGAGGAGGAGGAGGAGGAGGAGGAGCTCTCGGAGTCCTCCCAGAGGCCCTCTGAGGGCCTGCTGCCGCCCGGCTATCCGGGGGCTCCGGACTCCGGCGCCCGAACCACGTGCCCCTCTGGGGGGGCCCGGGAGGGGCTCCTCGTCGGCAGCCCTGCCGCCCAGCCCACGCATCGCCGGGCGGACGAGGCGGGTCGAAGCAGGAAGCAGGAAGGCGCTCGCCATCGCTCGGCCGTCCACTCCCCGTGTTTTTTTCGGTTTCGTGCGTGGCTGTTGCGCCAAAGCGTCAAGGATGCTCCTCGAGGGTCCTCGCCGAAGGAACAAAATGCACACGTCCGAGCGATGCCAAGAGGCCTGCTGCCGCCCGGCTATCCAGGCTTCGGACTCCGGCGCCCGAAATTGTGCCCCGCTGGGGGAGGGGCCTGGAGGGGCTCCTCGTCGGCAGCCCTGCCGCCCACCCCACGTATCGCCGGGCGGACGAGGAGGAGGAGGGGGAGGAGGAGGAGGAGGAGGAGGAGGAGGAGGAGGGGGAGGAGGAGGAGGAGGAGGAGGAGGAGGAGGAGAAGGAGGAGGAGGAGGAGGAGGAGGAGGAGGAGGAGGAGGAGGAGGAGGAGCAGGAAGCAAGAAGGCGCTGGAAGCAGACTGGGCCTCCGCCCGCCACGGGAAGGCGAGGGAAGAATGAGCACCACTCGATCCCTGAAGCAGGGAGGCGCCGAAGCGTTATGGAGGCGCTTTCCTGAACTCTGGAGTCCCAGCTTCCAATCTGGGTTCCCAGCTTCCAGGCTGGGAACTTGCAAGTCGGTAGTTCTGGATACCCAGCTCAACTTCAACCAGGTACCTGCTTTAGGCCCCATCTCTGGATTCCCAGCTGAACTTGAACTGGGGAACTGGGTTCCCAGTGCCGACGCGCTGAACTTGAAATTCGGCAATTCTGGATTCCCAGCTTCCTATCTGTTTCAGGCGCCTAAACCAGATTGGAAGCTGGGAGTCCAGAAATGCCTACTTTAGAGGCCTCCTAGATGGGGTCCGAATAGATGGGGTCGGAGGATCCCCCCGCATCGCCGATACATCGACGATGCATCGGCTGATGCATCGGCGATGCATCGACCATGCACTGGCGACGTCAGCGATGCATCGGCGATGTTGGCGTGGAGGAAATCGAGCCCCACATCGCGCCGCATCGCCGATGCGGCGCGATCCTCCGACCCCAACTACGGCAGGTTCGTGTCGTGCCGACCCCAGCGTTGGTTGTTGACACCGCAGGGATCGTTCAACCTTGAACGATCGGCCGCTGCCGCAACGTCCGATCGTTCAACATCGATCGATTCTGGGTCGCCGGCGGCGTTCAACCTTGAACGCCCGCGCTGGGGTCGCCGCTGGTCGACACGACACTAACCTACCGTACTCTGACTCCATCTGGGAGACCTACATACTTTCAGTGACCGATGGCAGACCCCCAGACCCCAGACCCCCCCTGGCACCCCCGCGGACGCGCCGCGGCCAGCCCCCCCTGGCACTCCGAGGCGGGGGGGGGGGGTTAAGCTTAGGTCGGGCCTGTCCCCCTACAAAGGGATTTTCGAGGAAAAATTAAAATGAAACATGCGGAAAAATGCCCCAGATATACCCAACAATAACCAAACGATCGTCCCCAGACTATTTTTGGACTATTTTTGAACCTTCCTCCTTTGGAAGGACAGGCCCGAGCTAATATTAAGCGATCCAGAGTGCTTTCCGCGACCGATGGGGTGCGAGTGCTCCGAGCCTCCTCCCCGCGGCACGCGCCGGGCAACGGCGGCGAGCCGCGGGCCCCCGGGGAGGGGCCGCGCCGCGGCCCGCTGTCGGGCTGGGTGAGGCTTCGGGCTGCGCCTGTAGGTCGGGCGTGTCCCCCTGCAGGGATCGTGGAGGGGGAGGAGGGGGAGGAGGAGGAGGGGGAGGGGAGGAGGAGGAGGAGGAGGGGGAGGAGGAGGAGGAGGGGGAGGAGGAGGAAGAGGAGGAGGAGGAGGAGGAGGAGGAGGGAGCTCGGGGAGCCGGCGGCGCGAAAGTGCACGCGAGCGCTGGCAACCCCACTCCGATCTCTCGGAGCCGGGGGCGGCGCTCAGGAACCACCGCCAGCCGGTATGCACTCCGTCGGCCCGTTCGCGATGCCCATGAGGAATTTCATGTACTGCTTCTTGACGCTCGGCTTCCCGGAGGATGCGCACCGCCTCGCGCAGCCGCTGTCCACGTCCCAGCCGTACGTGACATTGAACTGGATCGCCTTGTCCGCCAGCCACTCGGCGAGCTCCAGGTGGGCCAGCGTCTCGTTGTAGGTCCGGGTCTCCTTCGCCTCTACGAACTTGTGCTCTGTGCCAGATGTAAGGTCCTCGTGGACAGCCGTGTGCTCGTCGAGGAGGCCCATTTTCATCCCACAGGTGAAATGGAACGTGGCGTCCATTCCCCAGCCCATGGAGTTCTTATCAGTGTCAATCTGCCTCCGCCAGCACTCCCACGCACGGTGCGAGAACACTGTAAAGAGCATATCAATGTACTTCGTCACACGGACAACGCACTTTCTCTCGGCATCCCTCATCATCACTTTCCAGTGCCAGGAGGGCTGCACGGGGGCGGCCACCTCGAGGTCGTACTGCTGCATCGTCCTGAGAAAGGCTGGCATCCGGACCTCTGCTGGAGATACGTCATCCATCATGATCGCGACGTATGTGCTGTTGGACCGCACCATCTTCATGTAGTCCGTCCAAAAGCCCCTGGCACGGACCACGGTGCAGGCGTACGGGCTCGGCATCGTGATGGCGACGTCCGTGTACGCGAAGATGAAGCACTCGAACCCGTAAGTCGGTGGCAGAGCCCGCGCCACGCGGACGATGTTCTCCACCATGAAGCGGGTGCGCCTCGCGTCGCCGTGCCCTGGGACCACCAGGGCCAGCGACGGGGCGGACGCCCGCGGCCCCCTCCCGAGGTGGCCGTCGGTGAGCCCCCCGGGGGTCTGCTCGCGAAGCAGGAGGGCCCACTTGGAGGGTGAAAGTGGGGGTCGGGCGCAGGGTCCCGGCAATGATGCTTTTGAAGGCCATGAATGGGCGATACATCCTCGATTGCTGTGTTCGGCGGGGGAACTAATTGAAGCCCCCCCCCTGCACCCGCGCGCGAGACTTGAGGGGAAAGGAAGCAAGGTGGCGGGGGGCTCGGGAAAGGCGACGAAGGCAACGTGCGCTAAGGGCGCAACAAGAAAAGGCTGGAACACACGAGAGCGGTCAGGTAAGTGTCGAAATCTGCCCACCCAATCTGACATGCGGAACACTGCGCCTCAGTTGTTGGGATCTTGAAGGCCAGGGCAAAATGTGAATTCACAGTGTGGGGAAAAGCAACATGTGAATTCACATTTTGGGAAAAAGGAAAATGTGAATTCACATTTTGGGAAAAAGGAAAATGTGAATTCACATTTTGGAATTTTGTGTAGGATTCTTTATGAAGGGGCCAGAATGTGAATTCACATTTTGGGAAAAAGGAAAATGTGAATTCACATTTTGGGAAAAAGGAAAATGTGAATTCACATTTTGGGAGAATCGCGGGGCCCATTCCAAATCTGTCTTGGGGGTCGAGAAGTCATCGTTTGGGAACATACGCGATCATCAACCGCACAATCAAGACACACTTGCACTCCACTTCGCCGACCCACACGCAATATGCAAGAACGCCCGCACGCATGAACGATAATGGATGGACGGCGCGTGTGACCGCGCGGGCAACGCGCGGGCACGAATGACTGGCCATCAATGACCGCCAGCATTGGATGCCAATCGTACCCGATCACATACATGAGCGATACATTGAGCATACATGGGCCATTCAGCCCCCATTGAAGACCCCCTGTTGCAGACCCCCTCTTTCACCCTCCAACCCACGCCGCGGAGCCCGCCGCCACCGCGCCGGCGAACGCGCCGAGCGCTTGGAAAGCCCGCAGCATGACCGCGACGGGGGCATCCGCAGGCCGCGCGGGGAGCGTGCGGTGGCTGCCGCAGCCCGGGGTCTTTTGCAGGCGCCCGCGCCCTTGAGCCAAAATGGCTACGGAGAAGGAGGAGGAGGAGGAGGAGGAGGAGGAGGAGGAGGAGGAGGAGGAGGAGCTCCCCGCGGATGCACAAGAGTATCCAGCAAACACGAAGAACACGAGGGTGCCCTGAGATCCGACGCTGCGAAACGATTGCAACTTCGTGAGACATCACGCCCGGAACCCTAGACCCCACCCGTCTGCGCCATTTTTTCGAGCCAGATCGATCCGTGATGTGAGTCGGGCCCGAACAAAAAAGCGAAGACGCCCGGGGTGAGCAAACTGCAGCGCCAGGATCTCAAGGGGGCCCTGGGCTCCGAGGCCCTGATCGGGCACCGCCCAAGCGCGTCCAGATCCAGCTCGCTTCCATCCGGGCTGGGCACCCTCAGGGGCCTGCAGAGGCCGTCGGAGGTCCCGAGGTGCCCCTCAGAGGCATCCAGAGGCCACCCGAGGGCTCCCTCCTCCCTCCTCCCTCCTCCTCCCTCCTCCTCCTCCTTCTCCTCCTTCTCCTCCTCCTCCTCCTCCTCCCAGAAAGGACAAGAGGCGCCCAGACACCTCGCTCGGCGACGACGGAGAACTCCGACGTCGAGCTCTCTTCAATTCGGGGGGCGCCGGAAGCGGGGGTGTCGCAACTCGAGGCCCGAGGCATCTGCGCAGACGAGGGGGGGACCAGGGGACGTATTGAAGCAACAAAAGGTGGGTCAGGAAAGCCGGAGAGATTTCACGGTCGTGGCCATGATATTCGCCACCGCCTTGGACGCCCGTTTTCTGGGAGCCTGTGTGGCCCCCGGCGCTGCTTGATTTGGGGCTAATTAAGATTGGATTTGGTATACTTTTGGGACCAGATTTGGACCAGATCGGGACCGGATTTGGGATCGTCGCGGGGGGTGCTAAGGAGATAGGGAGATTATCAATGGATGCCATGGTGGGGTATGATCTATCTGCCTAACCTAGCTTAGAAGTGGGTTATTATTGCCCCAGGTTGCTCCGGGGGTATAATCACTCCGCTAAGTGGGCGGAGCCCACTTAGCCCAGGTCGCTAATTCCCCTAAGCCACTTGGGGCATGTGTCACCTGCTTATGGACTACGTCAAGCACGATATATCATATCCCATCTTGGCATCCACTGATCATCTCCCTATCCCCTTAGCAGCCCCCGCGCGATCCTAGTAGTCATACCCAGACGTCCCAATGCCAATTCCCCGAGCCTCTCGACACCCTCCCGGGAGCCAAATTGTCGCACCGGTCCAGTTTCTGACAGTCGCGTGGCCCAGAAACTACCTCTACGCTTATGATGTTGGATGCCCTGCTGAGGGCTCTACGCCGCGAAAAGTCCGAGATAACAAAAAAATAACTCAAAAATAGGTATTGCGGCCATACGAAAACAAACACGAAACTAACAGCAGAAATTGGTCACGTGATCCCGAAATGCGGGAGCCCGCGCCCAGAGAAAGGGCGGCGCAAAACGCAACTGCAGCCGCGCGCCTGGAACTGCGGGGGGGGCCTCTCATGGAATGTGGGCTTCGAGCGAACGCCTCAATCACATCGTCCGCGACGGGGCCCGCCGCGCAGCGTCAGGATGCGACGGGCCACGCGCGCGTGAACCGAACAATCGGAACGGCCCGCGCAGCACCGAAGGAAGAAACCCATCGTTTCTCGGGTGCCTTTTGGGAGCCTCTGGATTGGGTGCCTTTTGGAAGCCTCTGGGACCTTCCGCGGGGCGCCCAGGGGGTCCTTGGGTGGCTGTTGGGGCCATCGTGGCGGGAAGGTCTTGAAATGGCAGTTCGTATTTCAGTTGGGCCGTTCTTGGGGCCCCTTTGGGCCGCGTTAGGCCCCCCTGGGATAACTTTTGGGCGGCGCGTTGCAATGGCGCACGGGGTATGATAGCATAGTGAGAGTTGCCATGGCAATTAGGAAAATGCACGATGACACAATGAGCGGTAGGAAGCGTGGCAGGGCACAGCCCAATGACGCGCGGGCCAGGTCGAGCCATCATGAGAGTGCGGTGGGGACCGCGGCGTTGCACGGCTGAGCAGGTGAAAGCACGATTTAGCGGGCGCGCCAGGGGGGCTACGTAGATTGCGCGATAGAGGACGACGTAAACTAGAGTAGGAGAGGAGACGATGCGACCTAGCGCCCTAACTCATCTTCCACATCATCAACTGCCCCCGTCATGGGACAGCTGGTGATATGGAAGAGGTGAGGTTGGGTTGGCCTCCTGTGGTTGCTCGGGCCTGGATGTGAGCAGGAGTTGATTAACGGCTCCAATATGGCTCTTGTATGTTGTGCTGCTACGTGTCGTGCCATGGCGAAACCTCCAACAACAATCCAGGTGCCAGCGATAGCCCTCCAAGAGGCCCACGAGAAGCATCCCACGATACCCTCGCATGCACCCCCGAGGCTCCTGACCCACAGGCCAGGCAACGTGGCACGACCCTTGCCGAACCCATGAGCTGCCATGGTGGTTGGCAGAATGGAACCAGTCGCTTGAATAACGAGGAAGGGGCCGATGGAAGACGAAGCGAGTCAGGGATACGATGGGGAAACTTGAGACAAGGACGATGACAAGGACAATCATCAGGATAGACAGGGAGGCGAATGAGGACACGAATGGAGGACGAGGGGGCGATGACATGAGGTAGATGAATACCGAGAAAAAAGTGGTTAGGTTGCGTGTTTTTTTGTTGTTATGATTGGTCGCCGTGTTATCTTTCCCACCGCCTCGACTCCCCCTCACGCTCTGACACTTTCTCCTGTCTCGCAGGCTGGCCCGTCCGAGCGGGTCGAATGCCTGGCTGCGAGCTGGACCCCAGGAGGAGGATGAGGGCTCTGGATGGGGGCGGTCTGAGATGGGGTGGTGGGGGGCGGTTGGCGGGGAACCATGTGGTTGGCCAAACGGGGTGGGGGGGTCCTTGCTATCCTCATCCCACTCCTGCGTGCATTCCTCCTCCACCGCCTCCTCAGAGCTTGACCCTCATGGCCAAGGCGTCTTTCACCATCTTGGCGAGGAGGGCGGGCAGGAGCTGCTGGTAGTCCTGCACATACTTGCGGACCTCCCTGATCTCGCCCTGCACCTTGGTGCGCAGGCCCGCGGCCTGCTTCTCATTCCGGAAATGGTGCATCAGGACGCCCTGGAACTTGATGCGGCGGGCTCCGTAGATCTGCTGCTTGGCGTCGTCCACGACGACAGCCTCTTTCTCGACCATCGCAGTGTCGCAATACTTCTCATAAAGATCCAGGGTCTCAGGGATTCCAACCGAGAGTGGCATCGATGATGGTGCCCCCTGTCACTGATCGAAACGCCTTGGGGGCGACGATGGGCGGGCAAGGGTGGGGCGATGGCGAGAGGCGGGGGCATTCGCCGCGATAGCGGCCCCCCGAGGAAGAGCGGACCGCGGACACCCAGGACGCGAGAAACTGAACAACCCAAAACGCGTTGCATTGGGGAGCGCGGTGGCGACATGGGGGCACCATCAACGTTGCGCAATTCGATTGGCACCGCCTGCTGCAATCCAGACGTCGCATCGACCAGCGCATTGGGGTCCGCCTTCAGCACGGTCTTGGACGCGTGCTCCGAGAACTCAGCCCAGGTCTCACCTCTGAACGCGTCCACCCAGTACTCCCCGTTGTCCATGCCGCCGTTCAGCGGCTTGATTTCATTCAGCTTGACCTCGAGGGCAGCCTTGCTCTTCTTGATGTAGGCGCCGTGCAGCTCAGTCAGGAACTTGGTCGCGTCGTCAAGCATCTTACTCGCAGCGGCGGGGTGGTCTGCATCGGCGCTGGCGGAGATGAGCTCGTGGAGCTGCTTCGTGCACCTGTCCAGTGACACAACCAGGTCGAAGTTGTTCGCCGTCGCCCTGTCATCCATGCAAGAGCCGTGGGCCGCCAACTCCTGCAGCAGACCGTCGATCGTGATAGTCTTGTTGATCATCGACACCTTGGCTTGCACGCCGTCGATGGTCGTGCCGCACTGCGTGGTCAACCCTTCTGCAGCAATGATAAGTTCACGGAGCTTGGCATTGTCGAAGTTGGTCTTCCCGATCTCCATCGCCACGTACTCTGCGACATTGTCGGCCAGGCCGACCGCCGCGATGGCAATCGCATGGTCGCGGGGGACGTTGAGCTCGCGAATGGCGTTGACCATGGCGTTGCACTCAGTCAGCTTAAACTCTCGCAACCACGCCGTCTCCTGGCCAGCGGCGGCCGACTTGGCCATCTCCTTCATCTGCTTGGTCAGCTCGGCCAGCTTGACGGCGAGTCCCATGTCCCCGCAACTTCGCACCGAGGGACATCATCGTCTGGTTCAACTCCTCGGCCATGGGATAGAGGATGACTGCTTCGGAGAGTACTGCCTGCCAATCCTGGATGAACTTCTCGCTCACATTGTCGGGCGTCGCACAAGCGGCCATGAAGACCTTGCTCTTGCCCAGGATGGTTCCCAGCGCCGTGTCTAACAGATTGGCAGTGGCAGCAGGCGGCAGCTTCTCCTTGAACTCGCCGAGCCTGGCGATTGCATCCTGCACCCGCGGAACGAACTCCGCTGGGTCATCGGTCAGCGCGGCAAAGACGGCGACGACGTCGTCGTACTGGGACGCCAGCTTGTTGACATCCTTGGCGCAGCGGACGTACCCCTGCAGCCTGGAGTTCCAGAAGTCAGTGGCCTCAATTGCTGCAGCCACCAAGGCAGTCACAGTCCTCGAAGTCTTGCCCATGTGCGAACTCAGCAACAACATGTCGTCCTGGAGGGTTTGGGAGCGCAGCCGTGCATCGAAGCCCTGGCATCGTTACTCAACCACGCCGTGGGCCTCGACCAAGAGACCCCCACCGAGGAAAACAGTCAACGGCCCTTGGCACCGACAACCCAAACGCCGCAAGCTCCGTAGACACTACATATACACGCAAACACTAAACATCATACATACGCACGTGTAGCCCAGGAAACGAATGGCTAATCGTAGCTAGCGGCGGTTGGGTGTCGAATCGGTGTGTGCGCAAAGCACACTTTAAGGCCACTGTCCAA